TGGATATGCTGAATAATGCTCTGCTATTTTACACTGAAGTGAGATAGTTGTCGAGAGGAAAAGTTTTAAAATGTGTTTTTGAACTTCGTGATGAACGCAAACGTTTTTTAATCAGAAAGCAAGACTGCAGTTCGAAGCACTTTTCAGCAATATAAGCGAACTGAAAAAAAAAAAAAAAAATGCTTCCAAGACCTCTAGAGATCTGATCTTAAAAAGACAAACTGACCAGGCGAGGTGAAACAGCACATTAACTAGAAAGGGTTTTTTTCCCCAAGTGAGGACCTCAGAGATCCTCTAGCTGACCTGCTCGTTTAAGATCCGAACCACTGGGGGGCAGAGGAGGGCCTGTTTCCTCCAGCCCCTGGCTGATTCCCACACCACATCACCCCCTCTCAGCATCCTTCTAACACTGAGGGGGTGGAGGTTACAACCCCACAGAGATCCTGGTTCCCCGTGACACTTACTCTGTCCTTGTCGTGCAGCATATCGGCATACGATGACCTAACAAGAAAATAGTAAGAATCAGAAACTTCTGTTCATGATACACACCAACTCCCCATCGGCATTCCTAATCAGATGGAACAGACAAGCCATCCATGGCTGCACCGAAGTTATTTTAATAGGTGTAGAAGCTATCATTCTCTTGGGCTCAAAACCAGTCATGCAGAAGGTGTCCATTTTCAGCAAAAAGCTCCAGACGTAGAAACGAGGGAAAGGGTAAACCTGCCCAATACATGCAGGGACCATACGCTGCTTAGCAAACCAAAGAGAGCTGAAGGAGAGCCCTGCCACTCCTGTTTCAGATAGAAATCCTCAACAGTGAGGACCCCCTGGCAGGGTCAGAATGGGCCCCACTGAGCACTGCTAGCCCAGCCCAAAGAGGGTTTGTTTTGTTTGTTCTGGAGGGGAGGTGGGGAGTGCTGTGGGGAGAGCATTCCAGGTGAGAACAATCAGGGGAACTGCATTTAAAATAATCACCCCCTAGCCCTGGTGGTGTAGTAGTCATACATTGGGCTGCTGTGAGGTTAGCAGTTCGAAACCATCAGCCGCTCTGCAGGAAAAAGATGAGGCTTTCTAGTCCTGTAAAGGGGGACAGTCTTGGAAACCCACATGGGAAGTTGTACCTGGTCCTACAGGATCACTATCAATCAGAACAGACTTGCTGACAGTGAGAGAGAACTCACAGTAAGAGAAACACTCCCTGAGAAGCATCACCTAATTCATAATGAAAAGTTTACAAGTATATAGCGTGTTTCCCCGAAAATAACACACGGTCTTATATTTAGTTTTCCTCAAGAAGACACGCGATGGCTTATTTTCAGGGAATGCCTTATTTTTTTTAAAGTATGGTACAACAATCTACATTTATTCAAATATAGTTAAGTCGTCTTCTTCTGGAACGTCGACCCACAGTGCTGAGTTAAAGGGCAGTCACAGCTTTCCCTCTTCCCCCTGAGGACACACAATGCCTACAGCACTTCACCCAGGAGACTTTTACTCTGTCTACGTCTCCCTCTGTGCCTCAGCTTGCAGCACGCACGACCGGGACCTGACAGGGGGAGCCGACCTTGTTGATGGGGCTGCTATCACCTCCGAGATAGCAGCCGTCACGATGGGGCTATGTCTTATTTGGGGGGTATGGCTTCTATTGTGCAAATGCTTAGAAATCCCGCTACAGCTTATTTTATGAGTGTGTCTTATTTTGGGGGAAACACGGTATAAACCAGCAAAAGAAATCTGTGGATCAAGCTAGCACAAAAACGAAGTGATAAATAAAATAAGCACCCCAGAGACACTGATAGGGATGCCAAGTGTCCTCTCTGGTCACCCCCTGCCTCCTTCCCCAGGAGTCCTCATGGGGAGCAACCAGTGCCCTGCCCCTCGTCACCTGGCGATCTCCTGGTGGTAGTCGTAATGCTCGTCCTCCTCCAGCCACTCCACAGAGCCCGTGGTCGGGTTGGCGCGCCCGCAGAAGACCTTCATGGTGTCACAGGGCGCCTCCGCTCACCGAGGTCGTCAGACGCTTACTCATATCCTGTGGGAAGCTAACACTGAGGGAATATGACAGGACTATATTCCCTAACTTATTACCGAGGGAATCTGGAATGCTGGTACTCCCCAGCAGGAAAGCCTCCACTTTGTTAAGACATTATCCTGTCTTAAAAATCATTCTCCACAGATTCTCCCCTCAACAGCTATGCTGCCTTAACATAAGCACATGGTTGACTATATCTCCCTCTAGAAGCAGACATTATCCTTTTGTTCTCTCTTCCCACCGTGACACCCAACCCCCTTACACCTTCCCCCAACACAGGCATTCGGTTTCCTCACCTGTGAGCTCAGGGACCCTTGATGTAGACAAGCCCACCTGGTGCCGTCTGTAGCTACTGAATATGCATGTCTTAAGGCTACCTATAAATGTCCCGGGATAGCAAAGGCTCGCTCTCACTTCTCCCAGTTTTCCAACGTGCTCAGTTCCGAGTGATCCCTGGAGAAGCTGAGGTGAGCATGATTCCATAGCGTGTCTGATTCCATTATTTGACTCTTTATCCTCTACGACTTTACTATCATCTTTCTCTATCATTGCCATACATTTGCGCCTTCAGGCCCTTCGGTTGTTGGGGCTGGTTCCCCCGACAATATCCTGACACCCAAAAGTGCTATCCTGACACCCAAAAGTGCGGGAGGACAGACCAGTCGATGGGGGACACGCAGGAAAGTAACAAATGTGTCAAAGCGAGGGACAAAATTTAGTCAGTCGTCTGCCCTTTCCAGCAATAGTTCTTCGGTTTTCTATTCGGTGTGTAACATCAAAACCTACAATGCCCAAATTGCCAAGGCTGCCTGGGAGCCTGGCCCTCCTCGAGTTTCCTAAAGGATCAAATGGGCCTTACAGGTGTGCTGGAGGCAGCCCTCAGGTAATGGCAGGTGAGAAGGGAGAGGAGGAGGAGGACCAGAAGGAAAAGAACACAGCTCAAGGGGATGATAAAGGAGGGCCACCCAGATGGGAACCCTTAACAGGCTGAGAGTTTCAGGGCGTGTCTCAGCAAGTCTGTGCTCGCCCAGTGCCCGCCTGGCTGCCCGTCAGAAAGGAGCAGGTGCTCACAGCCCCCTTCATTTCTACCTAACCAAGTGCATGGTCAAGACACACCCCACAGAGAAGGGCTACTCCCAACATTCCAAAGGCAGTGAACTGACCCCAACAGTTGACTCTCTTTGGAAATTCTTTAGTCACAAATAGAGATGAAGTAAACATGGAATTCATACCAGTCAGGGGGAAATAATCTTTTCGGAAAAACCCGTGCCAGTCACTGGCTTGGTTCACGGCAGTCAATTTGTCCTTTAGTAAACTTCCACTTGGAATACCCACGCATGTTTCGGTCCTTTGGTAAAATTCCACTGCTGAAATTCTAGCCTGCCTATCCTCTAATCTAATGGCTCTGGGACTTTTTGACAACTCTAGTGAGAAACCTACTTGACACTGAGACTCAAAACAGATAAGTGAACACACACACAGCTTAGCATTTCACAGAACAAGCTTAGCCCGAGAAGATGCTTTTTACTTGATATTTTTTATATTTTTAATGGCTGGATGTGACCCACTAAATTGATCCAATTACTCAACAGGGAAAAATGAACTGATCTGAGATTTCACCAATGGGATGTAGTTTGCAGCCACTGGAAAACACTGCTACGCTCAGCAGTGTGTCTTATATACTACTCGTTATTTAAAATGTCAGTGTACCGAGACACTACCAGAATCTAGCGTGTGCTTTGGAAAACTTTGTCCAACAAACGCTGTCCTGAGAGAGCGGGATGACCATATCTGACTGGCCAGGGAAGGCTTAAATGACTGATAGGATTTGGGGGCATAGCCGGGGGAGATACTTCACCAGGCTAGCAAACCTGCGAGTCATGCACAGTGAATAAATCAATGTGGCTGAAGTGGAATTGGACAGACTGTCAAAGTTGTTTGAGGGGTCCATATCGTGAGGAGGCTTGAGACCCTCATCCTTTGGCGCATGCAGGGCCAACAGAAGGATTCTGAAGCATTTTTAATCAATGGATTTCTCGTCTACTCTGTTAATGAGGGGACAGCTAAGACGACAGTTGTCTCTTCAGAACTGTTGAGAGCTCTCTCCTCCCTATCTGTGTTACTAACCATTTTATGATACGTAGAATTTCTTCCGGGTCCACCCTCTCCACCTGTGGCAGATAAATCCCCCCAAGACTTGTCCTCTCCCAGGAGGCCACCTTCTGGGTTCAAAAGATTTCCCTCTGATCTGCTTCTTCCACATGGTCTCTTACTATCCCCAAAGTCCTGTTGGCACGACTAGTTGAGTTTGTGCGCAGATGTCTGGATTCATTCATACCCATGCTAGGCCAGGCACGGCGTTCGGTAAAGAGACAACCGCCATGAAGGAGACACAGCCCGGCCTCCATGGGTTTGCATCCACCGGGGGAGGGAGCCACCAACCGTAAACACGGTCTGTGTAAGAGGAATGGCCCAGAGAAAGCAAGCTTATTGGAGGAGCCGCGACGACCCGCGGCGTTTAAAACGCGATCAGGCTGAGGACCAGCGGGGCGAGTCTAAGGGTTTCCTTACCCCAACTTTTCAAGGAAAGGGCTCTGAAGTTAAAGTGTAAAGACCTCGGGGGACAAGCCGCAACTCCCCAAAGCTGAGACGCTTGGCGGGGGAGAAGAAAGGCGAGGTGAGGGGTGAGCCACGGCAAATCACGCAAGGGGTGATCGGTTTCGGAAAGCGGGGTGCAGGAGAAGCCAGCCAACGGTTTAAAACAATAACAGGTGTAGGTCGGGAGCAAGCGTGCCCAGGGCCGCGCTCGCCGGCAAGTGGTGCCGTCTGGTTTCCAACGACATAAGTCTGAGGAAGGCGAGGCCAGCGGCAGGTGCCTCAACCACCGAGACCTGCCCCATGAGGGGTGCGCTTCACACGACAGCGGCCCCGGTCCTGGCGACGGAGGCGCCACACACAAGTGCTGGGTGCAGGTGTCCGCAGATCGCCGAGGCCGTGGCCCCGGGGAGCCGCCTCCCTGCCGCAGGGCAGCCTCGGGGGCCTCCAAGCTGCCCCACGCGGACGCGGGGAAGGTCCTCGAGTCCTGAGGAGATGCGTGCCCGGGCGACCAGGGACGCCCGTTCGGGGCCCTCCGCCAGAGCCCTGGGGTGGCGGACAGGGTGCCAGGGGCCCCCGAGACCCCACCGCCCCAACCTCCCCGGCGCCTCACCCGCCGCTGAACCCGCTCCTCTCATCTCGGCCACCAACGCCATCTTGCCGCGGCCGGCGTGCGGAGGCGGGGCGCACGTCACGGCGCCCTCCGTGGGGGCCGGGGGCGGGGCCTGGAAGCGGAACTGGACGGACGCTCCCAGCTCACCCCGCGCGCTCCCACAGTGCTCTGCGGCTGCCGCTATGGAAGCCGGCAGGACGGCGGTGCTCCGGGTGAAGCGGAAGCGCTGTGAGGAACCCGCTGGGGCGCTTGTCGTCGCCTGTAAGCGGCTCCGGAGGACCACAGTCGAATCAGCGCCTCAGGGGACGCCTCCCGAGGGTCTGCCGAGAGAAGCGGAGAATAATGTCTTCCAGCTCGTGGCCACCGTGCGCTCCCAGGTACGGGGCAGGGGAGGTAGCAGGCGGGGAAGAGGATCTCGGGGCGCAGACGGGATGAAACTGGGTCCCTGACCCCTCCACCAACGTCTCCCTGTCGCGTCTCCCTCCCCAGGAGGAGCCAGTCCAGCCGTTCTTGCGGGCCGCCCTGCGCCCGTCCCAAGGCAGCCACGAGCGCATCCGCCGCGATCTCCGCGCGTCGCTTCGGGAGAGCCGGCAAGAAGGCCGCTACCGGGTGGTCTCCTGCCACCGATCATCAGGGACCCTCCCGGGCTGCCCAGAGCCCCAGGACGCGTCGAAGAGTCCAGAAGCTGCCAGTGACGCGGGTTTCCAGCTCCTGGACCTCGTCCATGAGGAGGAAGGGCCAGCGGCCGGCGCGGGGTCTCACCAAGTACGTAGGCACCTGGAGCTGGGGAGGGCGCGGGGCTCCTCTGAAGGGCTAGTGTCAGGCGCCTATGTGAGAGCATGGGACTCCCCGAAGGACGGATGAGCCACTCGGTGTGGTGGCCTCCTTTTATAATTTGATTATTCATCCAGCAAGCATTCATTGAGGGCCCCATTCTGTGCCAGGCGCTGCGCTGCGGGCTGATGTTGGGTTTCGTGCCTTGCCGGTGGACCTAGCGCCCAGGAAGAGGAGAGAAAGAGGAAAGGGGTAAATTCCGTTTCCGAGGTGACAAGGGAGGAGGAGAGATAGACCGGACAAAGGTGATGCCGTTTCAAATAGTATGGTCCGAAAGATGCCCCTGAGCAAATGGCCATTTGCGCAAAGGCTTGGAGAGCGTAAGTGGTAGGGCTTTGTGTGTCTGGGAGACAACGAGCCACACACAAGGGTCTGCAAGCGCAAAGACCTTGAAGCTGCGTTAGCCTGGTCCCCTGGCCGGTTTGCAGAGGGTGGCAGCTCCACTCAGAAGGGACTTGTAAGGATATTGCCTTTCACCCTGACTGAGCTGGGGAGTCACTGAAGAGTTTTGAGCTAAGGATCACAAATGAGAAAACTGAGCAAGGGAGGCTCGGGAACTAGTTTGAGGCAGCTTTAGGGTGCAAGTCTCCTCACGTTTAATGCAGTGTGTTCTCAACTATAGTACATTTGAATAACTTGGTTTTGTACCTCACTTCCAAATAACAAGGTCCACTTAGGACACCTACCCAAAGCACAGAGAGGAGCCCTGGTTGCAAGAGTGGGTTACACTTTTGCAATGCTAACTGCAAGATCAGCAGTTTGAAAACACCATCCGGGGTTGGGGGAGAAGATGAGGCTTTCTACTCTGACTGTAGGGTCACAATCTACTTGATGACAGTGAACTTGGGGTTTTTTTGTGTGACCATAGACATAGAAAATTCTCGAGGGAATAACAGAAATGTGGGGGGAGACAACAGACAGTGTAAGACATGAAATAACTATATAATCAATCATGGTGGTGGGAGGGTTGGGGCAGGGAAGAGGAACTGATACCAAGGGTTCAACTAGAAAGAAAATTTTTTGGAAATGTTGATGGCTACATATGTCCAAATGTGCTTAATGCAATTGAATGATGAATTGTTAATAAGATTTGTAAGAGCCCCCCGCCAATTAAAAAAACATTTAACAGAAATAGAAAAGTCTCATCCTCTAAGGCAGTGGTTCTCAACCTTCCTAATGCCACGACCTTTTAATACAGTTCCTCATGTTGTAGTGACACCCAACCATAAAATTATTTTCGTTGCTACTTCATAACTGTAATTTTGCTACTGTTATGAACCATAATGTAAATATCTGATATGCAGGATGTACTTTCATTGTTATAAATTGCAAAGCATAGTAATCACAAAACAATATGTAATTATATATTGTGAAATATTTATTTCTAATGACAAATAAATGAAATTTTGTCGTGTAGCATGGGTAACAGTCTTCACGCCGCTACTCAAATGTGGGCATATCTGCATGTGGTGGGACCTGCCTGGAAATAGAGGAGCGGTGTCTCCGTTCCTAAGACCATTGGAAATGTGTTTTCCGGTGGTCTTGGGTGACCCCTGTGAAAGAGTCGTTTGACCCCCAAAGGGGATGCAACCCACAGGTTGAGAAACCGCTGCTCTGCAGTATGCCCTGAATAAATATATATTTAGAGTTGGGGTTGTGATAGTGGGGGTGGGGAGGACATTAAAGAACTAGAGGAATGTTGTAACTTTTGTTGGTACACCCTGGCTGGTTTGTCCCTTACTTGTGACCCTCCTGTGAGGGGATGTACAATTGTCTACAGATGGGCTTTGGGTCTCTACTCTGCCGTTCTGTGTCATCATGTCCTGTCTCTGTGCCTCCCCCCCTTTCCAAAGTGATATGATTGTTTGTTCTGGGCCCTCTGATCCCAGATCCCATTGATATCTCATGATCACACAGACTGGTGTGTTTCTTCCATGGTGGGATTTGTTGCTTCCCAGATAGATGGCCTCTTGTTTATCTTCAAGACCCCAGACACTATATTGCTGTATCTCTTGATAGCTGGGCACCATCAGCTTTCTTCACATTTGCTTATGTACCCATTTTGTCTTCAGTGATCATGTCAGGAAGGTGAGCCTCATGGAATGCCAGGTTATTAGAACAAAGTTTTCTTGCGTTGAGGGAGTACTTTAGTAGAGGCCCAATGTCTATCTGCTACCTTATATGTACATAGATTTATGTCCCTGTTGTTATATATAAATATATTTACATATGCATGTCTATATTTATAGCCCTGTTAATTTTTTTTAAATAACACACCCCTACAAGAAAAAAACCCAACAACTTCAAAGTTTAAAACATGAAAGTATAATTCATAATAAACCAGAGCAAGCATATGTATTCATAGTGCTTAGGGTGCTTGGCCAGCACTTTGGGCATGACATCCATGGCCACATCTTTCACCAGAATGAATTCCACATTTTTCAAAGGAAACCACTGCTCATTGAAATAAAATTAAAATGCATTAAATAGCTTATTTAGTTGTATTAGGAAAACCAGTCAATAAACTGATAAAGGAGGTGAACAGCTTTTTTCCACTGTAGCAGTATAAACTACAAACAAAAATATCTGCACAGAATAATTACTACACTTTGCCATCTAGACTAGTAGGGAACTGGCCGTGATGCTGTTGGCCAGGCAGTGATTAAAATGATGTGTGACTGCAGCATTTAAATAGAAGCAAGCCTTTTGTTAAACCTTTACACGTGGATTAACGTTTAAAGGGCCTAAAAATAGCTTGGGACCTATATAAAAATAAATGTTCTCTAAAGCAATTTAAAGCTTAACATCTGTGCCACATGACAGTGGATTTCTCCTTTGATGGTCATACTTTAGGGTTTAAGAAAAGAAAGTACCATTTAACAGGAAATCGACAAAATTCAAAGTTTCATTCCTTTTATCTAGTACGTCCACCCACAAGATTTATCCTAGGAATACAACTCAACAGAAAAACAGCAGTATAAACAAAAGCTATGGTTGGTTTACTAAGTACTTACTATTGTTGAGCACTTTGCTAAATATTTTCTTTCATTACTTTAATCCTCATCAAAACCCTGTTAGGTATATACTGCTATCATTTGTCAAATGCAGTAAAGGGCACACTTTTTGCAACATTGTGTATAGAGGTTAAACAGTGTATCTAATAAACATAGCAACCTTGATCCAAGGGAAATGCATTGCATTGCATTGCATTGGGATTAAAAGTAGTGAAAAGCAAGGATGTTACTTGAGAACTACTGTGGCTCTCACTCAAGCCATGAATTGCCTCATATGCATGGGAAAGTTGGACATTGAATAAGGAAGACTGAGGAAGAATCAATACATTTGACTTCGGGTGCTGGTGAAGCTCATTGAAAGTACTATGGACTACCAAAAGAACAAACAAATCTGTGCTGGAGGAAGTACAGCCAGAACACTCCTTAGAGACAAGGATGATGAGACCAGTCCTTGGAGGAGGACTTCAAGCTTAGTAAAGTAGCAGGGAAGCGAAAAAGAGGTGATGGATTAACACAGTGGCTACATCGATGGGCTCAGACGTAAGAACAACTGTGAGGATGGCGAGAGACAGGGCAGTGTCTTCGTTCTGTTGTACCAGGATCGCTGAGTTGGAACTGACTGGACAGCACTTAGCAACAATACTACTACCCTGGCCATTAAATTGATAACCATGAAGACTGACAATATGAGACAATATATATTTTACAGTATGAAATGCTAGGTGGAGCATAATTGAAAATATGGAGAAACAGCATAAACAAATTATTTTTCTTTTATGGAAGTTATATGGTTATTACAGAAAATTTAGGCAGGAAATACAGCAAAGTGGAAAGTAAAGGAAAAAAAACATTTTATCCCAGCCTCAAGGGTAATAAGAAAAACTAGTTTCTTTCCTTCTGAGTGTATGATTCAATGCTTGGCGTATCGCTGGTCTTTGGAAATATTTTATTGGCTGCCTGACTTGCAGGATGGAGGGCAGCGGGGCTTGTGAGATGAAGCTGGGGCTTTCCTTGAAAAGTGTTGAGATTGGTCAGAAGCCTTCACCAAAACTGCCTCTCACTGTGACTGCATAGTCAGGGAGAATGGGCTTCCGGGATGGAACAGCCCCCAGCTCGCCTTGTCCATGGACACCCCACATCCCTCTGCAGTGCCTGGTTCAAGCCCAGCAGCTTCCTGTGATGAACATGTTTAGAAGTATCATCTGCAGCATGCCCTGGTGCCCAAGGGCCTGGGTAACAACCTGCTCTACCTGGGCCCATGCTAGTCGGAGGCAACCCGTTGCCAGTGGTCCCTCCCAGCAGAAACGAAGTTACAGGTGAATCCACTCCAAGTTTGCGAGTGAACGCAGTGTCAGTATAGGTAAGCCAAATGACATGATGGTAGACTGGTCACCGGCATCCAGAATCTCTCATGGGTCCCCTGTTGGGAGCCCCCTTGTACAGACCCTTTGGCGGATGAGTCATGCAGGCTCTGCTGTAGGTTTAGGAGGCCCCACGGGGAAAACACTGGGACAAAGGAGCTCGGAGAAGGCCTGTTGCCGCATGAGACTCAGCCAAGGTGTGATCCAGGCTAGGCCTCCCTCCTAGAGCCTCTTGGGTCAGCCAAGGACAAAAGAGCAGGAGACTACCTTATACGATTCTTAGTTTCTACTATTGTTTGGCTTTTTTAAGTTAGCTTAGGAGATAGGAATTTTTAATACAAAACAAACCCCAGGGTTCCCCTTCCTCCCCCCAATTCCACTTTTAAGATGGTATTGCTATGTTTTCTCAGCAGGCGGACGACCCAGATGTGATCCTCTGTAACTCCACAGAGTTAATCCGTGAGCGGTTGACCATCTCCGAGATGGGATCAGGCATTGGGCCCCAGAAGGAAGAGAAGGATGGCGACTACGTGTATGACATTTACTGTCTGGAGATGACCACTCCAGGGTGGATTGAGAACATCCTCTCTGTCCAGCCCTACAGCCAGGAGTTGGAGCTGGTAAGGGACCCCAGGCAAAGGAGGCTGACCTGACTCTCCAGGCTGGGGGCCTCTGCCTCCCTGAGCTCCACTAAGAATGGCTATTGTTCACATTGCATGTGAATACCCTGAGTAAAGAAAGCTACAGTGGTGGGTGACAAAAGCAAACTGCCATGCCTGTGAAAGACGTGTAGGCACCCATTTGCAGGGCCCTGCACTCATCTTTCGGATGGGGCTCTAACCCTAGCGTCACCCGTAATTGTAATACATAAACCCTCACCCACCTGGCTGCCCAGCAGTTTCAGGTAACCACCATTACACCTGCTCAGAGCTGTTGCTGCTCCCCACCTGGTGAGTTCCCTCCTGGGGGTGGCCAGCCTCTTCCTCCAGGAATGCAGGGCCATGGCCTTTTGTGCAATGGCCAGGTCACTCCCAGTCGACCGCTTTTTCACATAGCATCCTTAAATGACATCCCCTAAGCCCGTTACTAGCTGCCTCTGAAGAACAGAGCCTCAGGTGTTCTGACTTAGACTCATGTTCGGGTTGAGATGTGCAGGTGAATGACGAACAGCACCCCGAGGACGTGTACGACGACGAGGATGATGAGAACAGTGAGAACAATTGGCGCAATGAGTACCCGGAGGAGGAGAGCAGTGATGAAGAGGAGGGTTCAGGAGGTACAGGGTGGCGCTGGGTGGGGAGGGCTGGAGGGTGCAGGGCAGACATGAGGGCACAGTCAGGTACATCTGGCCTCAAGCTTTAGGACCCCGCAAGGACCAGTATGCAGGGGCCACGCTGGGGTGGGGGTCTACTGCTATTCAGGCCTGGGCTCAAGGCCTGTGTCCTGTTGCTGCCTGGCTGAGTCTTAGACTAATTCCCTTAGCCTGACTCCTCCACAGCCTAGGGGTCCTAGAGAGAAAGGGTGGCTGAGAGTTGGAATCCACTAGAGGGCAGTGGGTTTGTTTGAGACTTTAAATTTTTACTATTTTCTAAGCTTTCTTTATTGAGCAAGTGTTTTCTAATGGAACAAATCCCAGAAGGGGCTCTCCTTGTATGTAGAAGACAGGTTTCGTGAGAGTTCACGCCTGGTGTCCGTTCTAGGTTCTGATGAAGATGGCAGTCTCGGTGAGGAGGGACGAGGCATCTGCAGGCCCCAGACCTGGAGCAAGTACCCTCTAGATGTGCAGAAGGAGTTCGGCTATGACAGCTCCCTGGACTCGGACTGATAACCTTGTGACAGCCTCCTGCCTGGTGATGTCCTCTTGGGTTTTCTGCTTAACCGAGAAGTGTGGCCAACAGCACCATCCCTCCACAGCAAAGACTGGGCTAAGGGAGGAAGCTCTCCCACTAACTGTACGTAGAGCCCTTCACTTCAACCACACCCCCACCCCCAGTCAAAAACCCACTCTGCTCGTCGAGGTTCCTGTGTCAGCAGCAGTGAGGCCCAGCTTTCCCACAGTAGCCGGATTGCAGGCTGCCTGTTCCTTTGGACAGGGAGGTGTGAAAGGGCTGCAGCAGCAGCACCGACAAAAGAGGAATCACCCTCAGAGCAGAAGGCGGCGCATGCCCGAGCCAAGGGCTGTAGTTACCGCCTGCCTCTTGGCTGTGATGCTGGCCTCCTGAGGAACGTGTGTGCATAAATGTGATCATCTGTCTTTAGTAAAAACTGACATTCATCCTTTGTAAAGTCTCCACCTGATCCCCCGCCCCCCAGTCTGCAACAGAAAGGAGTGGGGGTGGTAAGAGGTTTCTAACGTGACTTTGACAGGAAGGCCGTGAGGAAAAGGAAAGCCTGGACCTGACTCTGCATTGAGAAACGCCCCTCTTCCGCACTCCCCAAGCTCTGCCCCGAAGATCAGTTTGTTACCAGGATTGGTTACGCTTTAAAAGCAAAGTCACTCACATTGGAGAAATAATTGGATTGTGATAAGAGATTTAAGAGTCCCCAATAAAAGTATTAAAAAAAGAAAAGCGAAGTCACTGTCCCTGCTCCTTTTCACATTTGCCTTAACTCTGAATGACTGCGGTCTGTGTAGTCCGGAACTTTCTGCCGCTGTGAAAATGCTCTGCACCGCCAGTGTGCAGTAGCAGCCCCCAAACATAGGTGGGTGTTTCAGACTCGCTCACCTGCGGGAGAGTGGACAAGTGAGATGGAGATTCACTATCATTTCTTCTCTCGCATCCCACCTCCACCCGTGCTTTCCCTGGATGGCCGTTGTGTGCATCTTGAGTTCCTATCCTTACACCGGCCACAGGGAGATTAAATTCTATCTCTACAGAGGCCCTACTGTTGTGCCTGATTAAACCAACAAAGCCTCTCCCATCCAAAGTATCTGCAACGGTACAAGGCAGTGGGACAAGGAACAGCAACCTAGATGTCTAATGCCGTTCATCTCCCGAGTCTCCCTGCAGCCATAGGAAGGAGCCAGAGGGTCAGAAACCACGCTGGCTCTGTTCACTGCTGTGTATGTGCTCGCTGACTTTTGCCAGCATGCAAGGGCCTCATACACACACACACACACACACACACACAGTGCAAGGATTAGCACCCCAGGAGAAGAATTTCAGAAGCCAACAAAGACCGAGTGGAAATTAATTCCACCAGGGAGTCTGCATGCCGAGGGGGCCTGGCTTCCCTTCAAGGAGGGTTCCTGGGAGATGCTGGAGAGGCTCTCTACCCAGGAATGAGGGCAGCCTGGCGCACTGCGCATATGGCGGCTCTTGATAAAACCTCCAACCCCACAGCCATTGAGTCAGTTCTGACTCATAGTGACCCTATAGGGGGTTTCCAAGGCTGTAAGTCTTTACAGGAGTACATAGTCTCATCTTTCTCCTGCAGAGCCACTGGTGGGTTTGATCCATTGACCTTGCAGTTAGCAGCCCAACACTTAACCTGGTGAATCTTTTATTTCACCCCCAAAAGCTACTGGGGGGCAGCATGTTGCTAGGAGTAGAGGGCTTGCAGCCTAGCTGGTGGTTTATATGGATGGAGAAAGCTATGAAGCCAGAGGCTGGAGAGGGCCCTCAACTTAAAGGATTAACTCGAGGGTCCTGGGACAAGTGCCAGCCTTGCTCAGACAAAGCATATTGGTGTCTTTTCTTTAGGCAAGTTAGTCTTTGCACAAGACTCCCTGTCATCTGGAATGTGCTTTCTAAATCTCCACACAAAGGCAGTAGGAATGCTTGCTCACCCCCAGGTTCCCAAATATGATGCCCTGAGGCCCAGGGTAACTGTGGTCCTGCTGCTCCTCCTGCTGGAGCCCCTTGGGGTGGGAAGAAAGATCAGAAAGGGAGCTTGCCTCACAGTTCTTGTTTTTATTGGTGATCCATTTCCAAGAGTCAGGGATGTGGGCTGAGGGCATCTCGGAACGCTGAGGAAGAAGATCCCCCACAACCAAGCACGACGCTCCAGCCTCCCTGGGGTGGCGAGGCCCGCTTCTGCTCACAGTTTGCTGAAGAACTGGGCTGAGGTTGAAGCAGCTTTTTTTTTTTTCCCCCAGAGTCTCTGCTGATATCCACAGGGAGAAGACAGAGTCCCCACGAGTTCCCAAGCTTCCTGAGACCGTAGCCCCGCAGACCTCGGGGTGGGGATAGGAGTGGAGAATGTGTTCTGCTAGTGACCAAGGCAGCCTCGTGCCAGGGCCAGAGGAGGGGCCTGCAGCCTGCTGCGGGGTTTTCAGGAAAAGCAGTGACACTGTAGCACCAGGGTCGGCTTGCAGAAACAAGCCATTTGGAGGCGTGGGTCCATGACATGTTCTCCAGCCCCTCGCTGATAGTCAATAGAAGTCAGGTGTCCCGTCCCCATCCCCCACCACAAATTCCAGAAGAGTTCCTGTCCCTTCTAGTTCCTACCATATTTACCTACCATCAACAGAAAGGTCTAGCATCTCAAGTAAAATACAGGATTGTTCTTTAAAATGCAGTACGTGCATACAGGCATACCGCACGTCAGGATATTGCTTTAAAACAAAGTTTGTGGCCATCCTGTTGGGTGTCCATGAAGCGCGCGCTCACCCTGCGTCTGTCACACTGGTCGTCCAGACAACAGCGCTGACTCGCCCACGGTATTACTGCACACTCTGTAACAGACTCCAGGGCGGTGTGAAGGGAGCTCTTCTGTGCACTGGGAATCCTAAGCATGTCTGTCACTCACTGTACTGCCACCTGAGCTGCGCTGTGGTGGGCTGGGCGCCAGCGGCCATGGCTCCCGGGCAAGCCTGCATTCTCAGACTTCTGACTCCTGAATTGGCTTATCCAGTTCCTGCTCTGTCTGAGCCAGGTGCTTGTACCATGTGACTTAGCTATGTACTAGAGTGCAGCAGATGCATGAGTAAAAACAAATTACTCAACCTTTGCAGGTAAGACTCAACAGAAGACTACGAAATGGAGCAGGAATCTGTGACCCACAGGCCAGCCCACCACCCCATAGACACACCTCTGAGGGCCAGGGACTCGACTTTGGGTTTTTGAGTCCCAATCAGACTGTGGTAGCCTGTAGGTAAATGAACAGAATCTGTGTTCTGCTTAAATAAAATCAATAAATAATGGAATCCAGCTCTTGCCCCAGAAATGGCTTTGAAGCATCTCAGACCTCTAATGTTAAGCGCTTGGAGCTGGCCCGGGAAAACTTTCCATAAAGCAGATTTGGATCAAGACTACCAAACTCAAAGCACCTGCCACAAC